TGTCACATGATCAGAGCCTTTGCCCAGCATACTTACAACCAAGGTTTGCAGTTTTACCATTATATGGATCACTGACTTCCTTTATCTCTTCCCAAACAAGCCTCTCACAACCATACCCATTTCCTCATACAGGAGGCTGCTCGTTTGGGATGGCTTGTCAAGTTGGAGAAGTCCACCTCTCACACAGTATCTTATTCATCTAGGGGTGTTTTTCAACACCTATCTCAACAGGATCCAGCCTTCTGTTAGTTTTAGTGTGATGGAGCTCTTGGTTTCCAAAGCTAAGTCTTCTCCTTCTCTTTCTGCACATGAGGTTCTTTATTTTGGGGACCTGATCTTTCATGGAATCCCTTGTCCCTTGGGGTTGTGCACGCATGCATTACAACTTGAAACTTGCCTGGTGATTGAAGAGGGTGTTCCTCTACCTCTTCCCCATCCCAATTTGCATCTCTTTACAGATGTTTCTCTTACGGGATGAGGAGCATATTTGTATTCTCAGTAGATAGCCTGTCATGGTATATATTCATATCTTCCCTACACGTCACCTTTTGAAACTCCTAGCTCTTCATCGGGCTTTGGATCATTTCCTGCCCGTGGTACGGGGCCACTTGGTCATGATTCATTCTGACAATTTAACTGTTGTCTATTACATCAGTTGTCAAGTGGGCACCCAATCTCATTTGCTTTGCTTTGAATGATGGATCTCCTTTTCTCAGCCAAATCTCAACAGGTCTATCTTCTTGGGTTCTCTGAATCTTGTAGCAGATTGGATATCTTGCCCCAACAAAATTCTGCTGTTGGAGTTTCCTCAAGTGTTGCAGTTGTTATGCTCTCAGCTGGGTACCCCCCCTCCCAAGATATATTTGCCACCCAATTCAATACAGAACTTCTCATTTTCTGGGCTCCAATTCTCCAATTGGCTTTAGAGGTGGATGCCTTCAGTCAAGATTGAAAGTCTACCTGTATGCTTATCCTCCCATCCATCTTTTTCCTTGCTTTCTCTCTCTCTTATACGAACCACTGTGTGTTGAGTCCTTCTTATTGCCCCATTCTGGCATGCACAACCGTGATTTCCACTGTTGAACCTTCTTCAATCATCTCCTTTCATACCTTATCCACTTTCCTGATCCCTTCTCCAGCAGCCTCAGTCCTCTGTCTTTCATCCCACCTTAGCCACCTCCATTTTCACGTGTAGACTTTGTCAGGTTCTTTGTGAGATGATCCAAACTCTCTATGTGGGTAAACTTCCTTCCTTCTCACTTGGTTTGCTCTTCTTCTTTGATGGTTTACCAGTATAAATGGTGCAATCAAGATAAGTAGTATTTTTTGCTGTGTACAAAGATTAACAGCTTTATAAACACAAATAAAGTAACAAAGAACACAAAAATATGAAGATGATTTCTCAGGCTAGTTTCGATGTACCATGTGATTCATTTTTAAGGATATACTGTGTGTATACAGCGACATCTAGCAAGTGTTGTTTTTTCGGTCTGATTTCTTCATACATATTCTATTGAAAAATGTTTTCCATAATGTATACAGTTGAAAACCCATATCATTGTATATGAGTCTGTCTGCATTCTTGTGTGTTTCAATAGCTTCTCTAATATTTCTTTGGTGGAAATATTTAGATTCTGCAATGGTGCATTTTCTGTTGTTAGTCTTTGTGCCATATCCTATCACCTTCCTACCCAAATGTTGTCCGTCTCTCCAATTTTATACTTGGCTTTTTGACAATGGTTTATCTGTTTCTGTCATTTTTTTTTGTGGGCTATAGGGCAGCTTTGTCCAAAACCTTTAATTTTTTCTGCTTCTATCATATTTTTTCCTTTCCTGTTTTGCTCCTTTCACCTCATTTGTCTGTCCGTGCCCCTTGGTGGTACAGCAGTATGTTCGCGGACTTACAGTGCTAGAACCTGGATATCGATACCCATGATAGGCAGAGCACAGATAGTCCATTATGTAGCTTTGTGCATAATTACAAACAAACAAACAAATCATTTGCTCAGCCCAGTTCCCATACCAGATTGGAATCTCATGTCCTTACCCTTCCTCCCTTTGGTTTCTTGCTCTTTGTAGCACCTTTCCCTCAAGACATATTTCTTACTCCTTTTCATATGTGGATTTTGTAGGTGGGATATCTTTGCTGTTGACATCTCCTATATTCTTTATCACCATACCTATGTTCTCCTTTCTTTATTCAAATCACAGTTTTTTGTTTTCCCCCAAGACATTGGCAGTGTGTGAAGGAAAAATCAACTTCACTCCCATTTGTATCCCCTCCATCTCTCATTTTAATTTCAGATATGATTCAGATTGTCTTTGTCCAGTTGTGTTATTTGGTCCCCCACACAGCTTCCGTCTGTGACTCTTGTTCCTGTCTCTTTATATCTCCTCAACCCATGATCTTTTTCCTGTCACCCTTACCAAATAAATTTGACAGCTTATTCTTCTTACTTATGCATCGTTATCTGAGAATTCTTGTCATATATTCCATGTTTCCTCTCACCAGATCCATCATCTCGCCCTTTCCCTGGGGTAAGAGATGGGGGTATTCCACAAGACTGCTTGAGGTTGCCTCATGGTATCTTACTTCATAAGTAAGGCCCGCAACCAGACCATACCAACTCGTGGACTATCATGAGTAAAGCATTGTTGATATCACTGTCCATTCCTCCTAGTTGATTAAAATCAGACCAGCCTGCTTTTCAAAATAGGGTTTTCATGGTCACCCATTGCAATGTACAACTGTGCTGCATTTTTCCAGACTACCCACTGCATTGTTATCTCCCCATCTCCCAGTAGAGTACGGAAGTTCTTGCCACTTACCCATTCTTAGCTGCTTGGGTGGCGGGCAGTCTGTTATTGGATTGGCAAAGGTCCAGCATAAGTCCTCACACATGTGGTTCATAGAGACCCTTACCTCTTACCACAGACTGGAAGACAAATACCTAGTGGCACCTGGTTTTGAACTGGAGTTGACCCACCAAATATAGTCTGTTGCGACCTAGCCATTCTACACTATCTGGCTCATCCAATTACAAGTTGGACGTGCATTTTTTCCACCCAATTTAGCGACACGTATCTTGGCAACAGGCAAAGAGTATATATATACCTGGTACAGATAGGGTGCAGGATACTTATACATCACGATATTCCACAACATGGGTTATTTTGGGGTGCCTTCCAAAGAGTGCTTATCTAGTTAACTTTTGCACCAGTCCCTCCACTGTTTCAATGTGGGATTCTAGCTATTATATGAATGGAGGTAAGGTATTGTATCAGAAGTTAACATTTTACTACACTGAAAATGTATTTCCAATAGATACTTACTTCTGCTCACACTTCTGATGCATCTTTTTTGCCTAATCTTGAAGTGATGAGACTTCTCTACAGTATAGAGGGAGTCAGCTGCTCTAGGAAGGTGTGTCACATTCCTATTGGTGGAGGGTTGTATCATGCTCATTTGCATGCTACAGTTCAGCTCTACTACATGAAATCATAGTTGAGAGCATCAAGGTTAGTGCTGAATGAAATTTGTGCGAATAGAGGGCAGCACAAGTCAAGAAAAGCTATTATGCGAAAAGAGTAATGTAAGAAAATGTTTATTTTTGGTGCAAGTTTTGTACATTTATCTGAATAAGTTCTGCAAGATTATTGTAAGCATCTGACCAGGTCAAAATAGTTATTTTAAGCCCTGCATTCTGTATTTTAGTCACTCAAATGTATATTCAGTGGTATATTCTGTAAGTGTCCTGTCAGTGAAACATAACCAAGGCTATTTTTACATCTATATTTTACAAGCATCTTTTTTAACTGAAATAAACCTAATGCTTCTACATCTTATAACTTCCTTCATCAAAACTTTATTAATGCCTTTTCTGTGAGAGAGTAGGTAGATTTATAACCAAAAGTACTAAATTCAAGTTTCCATTATAAACCAAGATGGATCAGTCTTCAGTTTATAATTTTATTTTTTTAACATTTTAAGATTTTTCTTATATACTAGCTGGAGTACCCGTCCCCTGGACAGAAGTTATGTAAATGTATGATTAATGACTGGTTATCTTAGG